TAACGCTGGAATCATGTGTTTCTTTACGTACGACTCTCTCTCCCTTTTTGCTTTAGGTGTTGAGCAATCTATTGCAATCTTCTCTTCCAAGTAAATATCACATTTCTTCTCAGTAAAATTCTTAAACAGATCGAGTAAATTAAAGTTTTCTGGTAAATCAACCTTCCCACTTAAGCAGTAATATTTAACTTCATTTTCAAAGGCTTCAGCTAACATCATTGTTTGTAATGGAATGCCCATAAATATTCCATCTTTGTCGCTGAAGTTCTTTGAAGTCAACCTGAGCAACCATTTGGCGAAAATTCGCAGATATCCTTGGTCCAGTGTTCCGTTTTTCTTATTCCAGAACTGTTCCAAAAATGTAATCTGATTTCTCCAAGTAAATGGCCGTAACGTAAAAGAAAATTTCATCAAGGCCTTCTCCAATTTCATCTGGTAGGAGGCACGTGATGAAACCCAAATCTTCGAAGCAGTTTTATTCCCTATTTCTGTTATTAACTTCTCCACCTTACTACTGTAAAGTGGACTTATTTCATCGAATCCATCTAGCATTACAACTAAGTTCCCTGTCTGCTCCAACGCATGTAGGAATATTTTTTTTTCTAGTTCTAAATCTTTTTGTTCCTTCGAATGAGCGGCTTCCCACAGGAATTCCTTGCATTTGTCGATGCATTCTCCTTCAAATTTAGTACTTTCCAGTGTACTCGTATGTTTATTTAGATTCAGTCTTAGCACCCACATCGAAGGTTTCCAGTTCTTTATTTCATTTTCCAAGTGGGAGAAAAACATAGATTTTCCCATTCCTGGTTCAGCTGCAAGCAACATGGTAGAGCCACTGTGTTCCATTATACTCGTGACGTTATACGACTCGCATTTAGTTTTGTCAATATATTTGCTGATGACATCAATGTCACAACTCGAGTCTCTCCATACAAAGAAACCGTTTTTCATATGGATCCAATGCACATTTTTGCAAATCTTTTTCAGTTCCTTAAAATTAATTTCTGGCTGTTTGTTTCCAAGAATAACGTATCTAACTTCGGCTGGGCTGACTGATAGAAAAACATTATGATGTCCTTTGGGGTAGTTCAAAGTATATACAATCTTGAAACAGCAGTGTCCTGATATTTTATCAAATTTAAATTCATATATTTTCTCGCCGACAGGTAGGTAATGTTCCAGTTGGCTTGGCTCTAACCCAGAAATTGCCAACGCATTAGTGGTGTCTGCCATCTTCAGAATACCATCATTCAGACACACCTGATGCCCCAATGTGGGTGAGACATAGCAACTAGGAGGTTCAGACAACTTTCTACCAATATAAACTTTCTGTTCCCTTCCTATCAATAAGGACACCACTTGTGAGTTTATACTCTGTGCTAAATTTTCAGGAGGGTCTTCAGAAATCAGTTCCTTTAAAAGGATCTCCGTTCCTTGAAAATCAACAGTTCTTTTTAGTACAAGTTCCTGTGATTTATTATCTAAGTCAAACAAATTGCAGTCATCTTCATACTCCGCGTATACATTTTCCAGTTTCTGTTGAAGTTGGGAAGCCAAATATCGGTGCTTATTTTGTGAAATTACAACACACTTTTTCTGAGATAGGTGCAGTTTGTCTGTAAGAATATCGGCCAAAATATTTTCATCATTTTCAGAGCCTTCCTCACAGTCAATGACC